AGAAGAGAAGAAGCAGAGCCAGAAGGGACCAAGAACAGAACAAAGAACAAAAGAACAAGAACTGAACAAAAACGTGGAAGGGTAGAATATATACATGTGTATGCACCTACACAAATTAGAATGTTCTAGAACAGTAAGAAATAGCACATGGTATAAGTAATTACATTTACATAAAATACATTATTAATAAAGAAATCATATCTGTTAGCTTTGAGTTCACCACACTATCCATTATTAATAGAAAAATATTGTATTAGATCTAACAGAAACTAGTAATTATATCATACATGACCTAATCATTTATGATATCTATATCATCTATGATATCTATATCATCTATAACACATTCTTTTATGTACATTGGGTGTGGGCTGTGGTCATCCACATACAGGTAAAATTTACTATTTAACCATTATACTGTGTCATTGGGGCTCTGTTCTCTCTAGTTAATAATTGAAGATGATGATTCTCTCTCTTTTGTTTGCTCTTTTATTATGTCTGCAATTAGGTCATGGTAAGTACTTGTTGCTTTTAATTCTAGTAAATTCTAGATGTAGCCTGTATAAATAACTATTTTTGTTGTAGGAGAGAGTTATAATAATTCTGCTACTAGTTTTTACTTTGGATTAATGACAAGCAGTGGATATCTTACAATTTCGACTTTGTCTCCTCTCAATGTCACATATAACATCACTATTGAATCGTTCAATTATACTCGAAATGGAACAGTAACAAAGAATAGACCAGATCCATATGTATATCTTTCTTGGCACTTCCGTACACAATCCAATTCTTTTGCAGATCGATTTAAGGGAATTCATTTGACTAGTGATCAACCAATAAGTGTATCATTTTCCGATTATTTCTCTGAGTATCTCATTTTACCATATCATGAGTACCCAGGGGTTAGTCAGTATGAATATTATGCTGTTTCTACTAGTAGTTATTATAACTATACTCTTAGTCAAGTTCTTCTTGTTGGTTGTATTAATAATACTGTCATTAATATTATACCAACAGTTGATCTCTTCATTCCTATTGATGTACAGAAGAATGGCAGTGATGATATATTAGTAACTAAAGGTAACTCTCATACTATTACACTACATGAGGGACAGACGCTATTGCTGGGTAAAGGGAATGGAAGTGATATATCAGGAACACACTTTATTTCTAATAAACCACTGACTGTTATTACTGGTCACCAGTGTGGCAGTACTCCTGATATGATAGAAACGCCTTCTTGTCATGAGATGCAGTTACAAGCTCCTCCAGTAATAACTTGGGGTAAAAGATTCATTCTGACAAATTTTATTAACCCTTATTTTGACAGCACATACTCTTCTTATGTGAAGACAGTCACTTCACAAGCCAACACTAGTATAACAATACATTGTGATGGAGCCACTAACACTACAAGATACTCTACTAATGGTGCAATTGGTACATATCAGTATAACATAACTGAATATTGTTATGTGGAAGCTGATAAACCAATAGTTGTTGTCCTGTTCCCTCACTCATATTTCTATTATATATCTACTATGGTATTGATACCACCAATAGAACAATATTTTCAAGAGGTTAATTTTTATT